TTTTGTTGCTAGAGTGCCATTGATATCCTGGGCTTCTCTGCTGATGAGAAAACAGCCATCTACAAGCTGACAGGGGCTGTCATACACTACGGGAACCTGAAGTTCAAGCAGAAGCAGCGTGAGGAGCAGGCAGAGCCTGATGGCACAGAAGGTATCAGCAGAGTCAGCAAAAGAGATATTCTTTCCAAAAGAGATATTCTTTGTCACAAGAAGGACTTAGGTAGATTTCAGGCTTTAAATATGCAAATGTGTAAACTAAAAAGAAGAGTAGTTGTTCCATGACTAGATGACAGTTGAGACGTATCTCATCTAATGGTACCTGTACTTTTTATCTGTGACTACTTCGTAAGTAAGAGATCTGGCGTACCCTGCCAGGAAACTGGAGCCATGGATGTCAATTCCTACACCATTGTTAGTCATACTTAAGTTGAAATACATCTTGCAATCTCTGCTGTAGTGTGGAGTAGTGAAATGGTTCGGCCCTACCGGGAAGGGAAACTGCTTCTCTTCACTCTCACCTACTGGAGTGAACTCTGATGTGAGATGTGTACTTGATTAGTCTCTGTCAAAGCAGGAAGGACTGTTCATGCCTCCATCTCTCTGAGTGATGAATCCTCTTGCTATATAACTAGAAAGTACACATGAAGACCCATAGTTACACCTGAAAAAGGATAAAAGCAATGAGCTTTCTTGAAGAACAACTGTAGAAAATTAAGCTCAGAAAGAGTTGCAGACTCTGAATCCTGCAGACAGGAGAGAAATCAGCTTTGCGGCTTTGACAGATATTGTTGTGCACTTTTGGAACAGTCCATCAAGGACCAAATTTTTGGAATTGTTGAATATTTACTGTTTTCTCTTTTCTGGTGTTCAGTTGCTGACAAGGCTGCCTACCTGATGGGTCTGAACTCAGCAGACCTGCTCAAGGCCCTCTGCTACCCCCGAGTCAAGGTGGGGAATGAATACGTGACCAAGGGCCAAACAGTGCAGCAGGTAGGAAAAAAAGAATAATCTGGAAAATGCTTTGATGGTTGGTGTTGTTTCTCCTCTGCTGTGTGTAGTAACCTCCAAACCTTTCTCTATGCTTTAGGTGAACAATTCAGTGGGTGCCCTGGCAAAGGCTGTCTACGAGAAGATGTTCCTGTGGATGGTTGTTCGCATCAACCAACAGCTGGACACGAAGCAACCCAGGCAGTACTTCATTGGTGTGCTGGACATTGCTGGCTTCGAGATCTTTGATGTAAAGAACACAGTTTTTTAGCATTTCCATGGAAAAACTATTGAAACTTTTGAGACGTTTAATAGAAGGGAGTATGTTCCTACATTTATTTGTAGGGCTTGTTGGAATCACCATTTTTAATCCTGAAAAAAAAAAAGATTGAAAACTAATCTTTCAATTGCTCTGAATTTGAAACCTCTCTTTTTTAAATACAAAGCCTATCCTAGAAATATACCACAGGAAAACTACACAAGAAAATGACTTGTATTTATAGTATCAACCCTGGTGAATTAGGATTGTACAAGAAAACACCTTGCTATTATTGCTGATCCTTGAAAGCATTGTATGTCTTTTTATATCTGGCAGTTCAACAGCTTTGAGCAGTTGTGCATCAACTTCACCAATGAGAAACTGCAGCAGTTCTTCAACCACCACATGTTCGTGCTGGAGCAGGAGGAGTACAAGAAGGAGGGAATTGAATGGACATTCATTGACTTTGGGATGGACCTGGCTGCCTGCATTGAGCTCATTGAGAAGGTATGCTTTGTGTTGAATAAGTTAGATCTATATTTGCCAAGAGATGTAATTAAGAAGCACATGAGACTATTTTGGCTTCTTCAAGTACATACCCTGTGGCAACAGGGTGGAAGGGTTTTTGGAGATCATACTCAGATATCAGGACTTTTGGTGAGAGAATTCACTGCTAGATTACAAAAAGAAATAATATAAAAGGCAGTCATGTTCTATAGGTAACTATCAGTAAGTAGGTTTTATGGAGAGGACAGTATTTCCATCACTTCAAATGAAACAGAAACACTGAAAAAAGTTGAACCTTGGTTAATTTTCTCTGACTTATTGTCATAAAATGTGTGGGAACAGCTTTCTTTTCTGGCTCTAGCAAGTTTCCAACCAAAATCTGTTTCTCCCTTGTACCTATTATAATCTCTCCCAGCCAATGGGCATCTTCTCCATCCTGGAAGAGGAGTGCATGTTCCCCAAGGCAACTGACACCTCTTTCAAGAACAAGCTCTATGACCAGCACCTGGGCAAGTCCAGCAACTTCCAGAAGCCCAAACCTGCCAAAGGCAAGGCTGAGGCCCACTTCTCCCTGGTGCACTACGCTGGCACAGTGGACTACAACATCACTGGGTGGCTGGAGAAGAACAAGGACCCCCTGAATGAAACTGTCATTGGGCTGTACCAGAAATCATCTGTGAAGACCTTGGCCTTACTCTTTGCCAACTATGGTGGAGCAGATGCAGGTCAGTTCAGTGAAAATTGTATTTTCAGCATGGGACAATGTTGACACAGAATTGAAGCCATAAATACTAAACATTTAAAATTGGTTTTTCAATTTAATTTTTTTCCCTTTAATTTGCAGAGGCTGGTGGTGGAAAGAAGGGTGGCAAGAAAAAGGGTTCTTCTTTCCAGACTGTCTCAGCTCTTTTCCGGGTACAGTACTGCACCTGTTACCTCTGAAATGGGAAGGAAGGGGGTGAGCTAATATTAAATTTGAAAGGACTATTTTACATGACTATAATGGTGCTAAATATCTTTAGAAATTCCACATCAGGTTTTCCAGGATCAATTTTAATATTGCTAATTTGTCGTGTCCAAAAATAAGCATTCAGTCTTCAAAATCATGAAAATCTTATAATCTGCGTGTATTTCCCTTTTTTATTTTTTTTTTTGAGCAGCTCTCATTGAGATCTTTGTATTTTTATGTCTTTGGGTCAGACTATGACCATAATATGAGTATTCCTGCATTTCTGTTGAGGAATTGAAAGTAATTTCCAAGCGGATATTTATCTTATTGGAATAAACCCCCATTTTTAAAAACTTAAATAGCCTGACTTTTGAAGGCAGAATGTGAGAAATCTAGAAGTCAATTACTTTTTGTGAATGTGTGAAATTTATATTTATTTTCACTGGCCCAATAACAACACAAAAGTATTTCAGTCTTTAAAAATGGTGTTCAGTATCTTCAAATAGAAGAAATATTTGGTTTCTCTGGCTTTATCTAAGTGTTCTGAAGCCCAGCTTGAGACATTGTGAAGCCATTACCTGGGCTTGATGCCTCAAACATTGGACATAGAAAACTAACATTGCTACCTGCTTCCTCTAGGAGAACTTAAACAAGCTGATGACCAATCTACGGAGCACTCACCCCCATTTTGTGCGCTGCATCATTCCAAATGAGACTAAAACACCTGGTAAGATGGCTCAAGTAGGAAGAGAGTTTGCTCTGATACATCCATTCCTTCTGGACAAACTGCCCAGCCCACAGCTGGATAAACACATCATGTGGCTGAGGAGCAACTGGCTCATGGGTCGAGCACAGAGGGTGACAGGGACTGGGGTGACATCAGACTGGTGACCTGTCACTACTGGGGTTCCAGAGGGCTCCATCTTGGGCCCTGTGCTCTCCAACATCTTCATGAATGACACAGGACTGGAAGGGATACTCAGCACATTTGCAGATGACCCAAAAGTGGGAGGAACTGTTCAGCCCCTTAAAGGCAGGGAGGCCCTGCAGAGAGACCTCAACAGATTAGAGGGCTGGGAACAAGGGGAAGTGCCAGATTCTGACCCTAGGGTGAATGGACAGACTGGGGAGTGAGATGCTGGAAAGCAGTGCTGAGAAAGGGCCCTGGGAGTCCTGGTGGGTGCCAGTTGGCCCTGAGTCAGCAGTGCCCTGGCAGCCAGGTGGGGCAACCCTGGGGGCATCAGGCCCAGCATGGCCGGCTGGGCCAGGGAGGGGATTGTCCCACTCTGCTCTGCCCTGGGGCAGCCTCACCTCAACATTGGGGCAGTTTGGGGGGGACACAATGGAAGGAAGATCTGAAACCATTGGAGAGTGTCCAAAGGAGGCAACGAGGATGGGGAAGGGCCTTGATTTGAAGGTGTGTGAGGACACTGAGGGCACTTGGTGTGTTCAGCTGGACAAGAGGAGACTGAGGGGAGACATCATTGCAGTTCCAACTGCCTGGGCAGGGGCAGAGGAGGGGCAGGCCCTGAGCTCTGCTCTGGGGGGATCAGGGACAGCAGCCAGGGAATGGCCTGGAGCTGTGTCAGGGTAGGGTTAGATTGGATCTCAGCAAAAGGTTCTTCTCCCAGAGGCTGGTTGGGCACTGCCCAGGCTCCCCAGGGCAGTGGGCACAGCCCCAAGGCTACCAGAGCTCCAGGAGGGTTTGGCTGATGCTCTGGGGCACAGGGGGGGACTCTTGGGGATGGGCCTGTGCAGGGCTAAGGGCTGGACTCAATAATCCTTGAAGGTTCCTTCCAATTTGGCATATTCTGTGATTCCCCTCCACACTGGAATCTGTGGTATTCCTTTGTGCTCTGCTCTGCCTTGCTCAGGTGCCATGGAGCACGAGCTGGTGCTGCACCAGCTGCGCTGTAACGGCGTGTTGGAAGGGATCAGGATTTGCAGGAAAGGGTTCCCCAGCAGAGTCCTCTATGCTGACTTCAAACAGAGGTAAGAGCACTGCACTTCTCAGCATCATTAAAAGTGTTGTTGGTCCATTCATAGGTCCATTCAGTCTGTTGTCAAAAATAGCTATATATGAGCTGGCGGGGTTTAGTGGCTCCTGTGCGTTGGTTGGGAAAAAGTAGCCTTCTCTTCCTCTTTTCACAGATACAAGGTGCTTAATGCCAGTGCCATCCCAGAGGGACAGTTCATCGACAGCAAGAAGGCTTCCGAGAAGCTCCTTGGCTCAATCGATGTGGACCACACCCAGTACAAATTTGGACACACCAAGGTACAAACCCCCCATTCCCTCACTCTGTGCCTGTGCTTTGCCCGGCCTGACAGTGATGTGCTGCAACATTCCCTCTCTAAGGTGTTCTTCAAAGCTGGGCTGCTGGGGCTCCTGGAGGAGATGAGGGATGAGAAGCTGGCACAGCTCATCACCCGCACACAGGCCAGGTGCAGAGGCTTCCTGATGAGGGTGGAGTACCAGAGAATGGTGGAGAGAAGGTACACATTCTTTGTCTTCAATTAAACTCACTGTGCTTGAGGGAAAGTGTTGACACTTTTCAGACTGAAAATACTCATTGCACATCTGAATTATGCTCCAGAGAGTCCATCTTCTGCATCCAGTACAACATTCGTGCATTCATGAATGTCAAACACTGGCCCTGGATGAAGCTGTTCTTCAAGATCAAGCCCTTGCTGAAGAGTGCAGAGTCTGAGAAGGAGATGGCCAACATGAAACAAGAGTTTGAGAAAACCAAAGAAGAGCTTGCAAAGTCTGAGGCAAAGCGGAAGGAGTTGGAGGAGAAAATGGTTTCTTTGCTTCAGGAGAAAAATGACCTGCAGCTCCAAGTGCAAGCTGTGAGTTTATCACCAATAATTTATCACTCAGAAAATGGATATGTACATTCAGACTGTTCGTTGTGAACAGAAGGTCAGACTGTAGAAGACCAAAAGTCATATATTTGGGGAATTATCTGTCATATGTATGTGAAGGTGAGGAAACAAACGTCTGGCAGTGGTGTGATGAGCACTGACAGCCAGGGCAAAGAAACAGGGAGAAACTGGGAGTCAGTACTCTTGCCTTCAGAGGAAAGAGGCAGATGTAGCTCATAAACATGACATACTCAGGGCAGAATGCACCCCCAATTCCCTCTGAGCCGGTGAATGCTGCAGGAAGGATCTCCATCTCACCAGGATGGAGAACTATGAATTAATTTTGGAGTATAAATGCAAACTGGAGTTCAAAGTGGCACTCTCTATGTTTTAGACTTAAATGGTATGAAATCTATAATGAAGCAGAAGTTCTTGGGGGTTTTGAACATTGCAGGGCTTTTTTGCATTTCTAGTCTGGATTTCATATTGTAGTTCCAGTATAAGCAACATCCCGTGGTAGTAAAATTATTAATATTTAAGATTGAGAGTTCTAGCTAAGAAGTTATTTTTATTAAAAGGATGCTCCTTTGCACTAAAAGCCATTTTTTGCATTAATATTTGTGTCAGTTCCCCAACATTCAGACATATAGCCCCCTGAGCTCCCTTTTCTCTGCCAACTGGTTGCAGAGACCCAATTCACACACTGTATCAGAAAAAAAAGAAAGTGGTGAGGAAAACCAACCCTCTCAATGTTAACAAAGATAAGTATTTGGAGGGATGTTCTACTTAAGTAGCTTAACTACAGCAATTCTAAGGAAACAAACAGTAAATAACATGACTATGTGGAGAGACTGGTTCACGGTGGAGCTTATAGGAATGGTACATCTGTATGGGGAATTGGAAACAATCATGGACAATTTAACTTTTAGTTGAAAGAAATATTCTCTAAGTAAAGAAATTCATGGCTAGACCTCTCAATCTCAATATTAATAATTTTGCCATCACAGTTCCATGAACCCTGTAGACACACAGGACTTCACAAAAATAGAATATTGCTTAAAAATATAAGCAAAAATATACTTAAATATCACTTTACAAAGTCATCTAAATCTACCCTATAAATAACCTAATTTGCCAACTAAAAATAGAACACTGTATTAATTACAGTTATTTGAATATTTCCATAGAAAATGGGCACCCCATGTTACCTGTTTTCCTTAGTATAAGAAAAATAAATATCCCATTGGACTTTCTTGTATATCTTAAGATATATGTTCCTTTCAAATTCCTTTGGAACAAAACAAATTCATGATAAAAAAAGCCCATCAAAGGGTAAGACAAGGAACTGATCAGCTGAAATCAGCACATGCCACCCCAAATACAGCATGGAAGGGACACACCTGATTTACCCCACTTGCCTAAGCAATAGCATTCATACATTTATAGAGAGAGGATTCTTATTTCTCTTCAGTTACTGTTGAGACTATCAGACCCTTTATTCCCAACTTCATAACAGGTTCAGAAGGATTCCGTTGCCGAAGGATAGATATCTAATGCAGTGTTTATGAACAAAAATGTCTCCAAGCCCCCTCTCCTCTAGGTACATGAGAAATTCTCACACCTACCAAAACTCTGAGAAACTTTTAGGAGAGAGAAAATAGGTTAGAAATCAATATTGTTTCACCTCAAAAGCTGTATAACGCATCCCAGGGAAACAAACAAACAAACCAACAAAACCAAACACACAAACAAACAAAAAAAACCAACATCAAAACCAACCCCAAAATGATCAACAAGATTAAAGTTGCTTCAACATACACACTTACTTACATAGAAAAGCTCAGAAAACAAATCAAGAAAATCTGTGTCTCCCCCACAGGAGGCAGATAGCCTGGCTGATGCTGAGGAAAGGTGTGACCAGCTCATCAAAACCAAAATCCAGCTGGAAGCCAAAGTTAAAGAAGTGACTGAAAGGGCTGAGGATGAGGAGGAAATCAATGCTGAGCTGACAGCCAAGAAGAGAAAACTGGAGGATGAATGTTCAGAGCTGAAGAAAGATATCGATGACCTTGAGCTAACACTGGCCAAGGTGGAGAAGGAAAAGCACGCCACTGAAAACAAGGTACGAGGCAGAAAATCTCACCCACACTCCAGAAAAGAGCCCCACTCTATATCTACTTCCTTGATTTACACTTGCTCCCTTCTTCCTAAAGGTGAAAAACCTCACAGAGGAGATGGCAGCCCTGGACGAGACCATCGCCAAGCTGACAAAAGAGAAGAAAGCCCTCCAAGAGGCCCATCAGCAGACCCTGGATGACCTGCAGGCAGAGGAGGACAAAGTCAATACACTGACCAAAGCCAAGACCAAGCTGGAGCAGCAAGTGGACGATGTAAGCCCACGGACACACAGCAGGAACAGACAGGTATGGAGTTTGAGCTGGCTGGTGGAGCACTGATGGCTTTGTTCTGTGTAGCTGGAAGGGTCCCTGGAGCAAGAGAAGAAACTGCGCATGGACCTGGAGAGAGCCAAGAGGAAACTGGAAGGAGACCTGAAGCTGGCCCAGGACAGCATCATGGATCTGGAGAATGATAAGCAGCAGCTGGATGAGAAACTGAAGAAGTGAGTGTGGCCCTGGGGCACCTCAGTGCTGGGCTGCAGCTCTTGTCTTTTTCCTTTGAGCTGTAACCCACTTTGCTTTGCCCAAAGGAAAGACTTTGAAATCAGCCAGATCCAGAGCAAAATCGAGGATGAACAAGCCCTGGGCATGCAACTACAGAAGAAGATCAAGGAGCTGCAGGCAAGTGTCTGCCCTTCCCCTGCCTGCCCCAGGCTCGGCTCAGGGAGGAGGAGGGCACGGGCGTGAAGGGTCCCTCGTGTTCTCCAGGCCCGTATTGAGGAACTGGAGGAGGAAATCGAGGCCGAGCGAACCTCTCGCGCTAAAGCAGAGAAGCATCGGGCTGACCTGTCCAGGGAGCTGGAGGAGATCAGCGAGCGCCTGGAAGAAGCAGGAGGGGCGACGGCAGCTCAGGTGGAGATGAACAAGAAGCGGGAGGCAGAATTCCAGAAGATGCGCCGGGACCTCGAAGAGGCCACGCTGCAGCACGAAGCCACGGCTGCCGCCCTGCGCAAGAAGCACGCGGACAGCACAGCTGAGCTGGGGGAGCAGATCGACAACCTGCAGCGCGTCAAGCAGAAGCTGGAGAAGGAGAAGAGCGAGCTCAAGATGGAGATTGATGACTTGGCCAGTAACATGGAGTCTGTCTCCAAAGCCAAGGTATGGAAAAATAGACTGAAAACCACTTGGAAATTAATTCCATTGAAATACGTCTTTTCAAATTATGGCCTGGTTACCATCTAACTCCCTGTCTCTCTATGGAGCTGTGTTTCTTACTTTCTAACACCAGGGAACAGTCCAGACCTTGCAAGTCTGTTCATGTTTTTCTGCTTAGAGTCCTGCTTTTCCGAATAAGAAGGCGTCTAGATCCTAATCTTCTTTCATTCTCTGTGACCTCCACAGGCAAATCTGGAGAAGATGTGCCGCACCCTGGAAGACCAGCTGAGTGAGATTAAGACAAAGGAAGAAGAGCATCAGCGCATGATCAATGACCTCAATGCTCAAAGAGCTCGTCTGCAGACAGAAGCAGGTAACATACCCCCACATGCCTCTGGAATGGGACAACCTGTAATTAATGATAACAGAAAAAGGAATGAAACTTTGCTCAAATTGATCTAGTCTCTGTGATCTGTTATACAGTGCTTAAAAGACACATTGACTTAGTATTGATTTTAAATTGCAGTCTGTCTGTAAACTTTCTTAGGTGAATATTCACGCCAAGTGGAAGAAAAAGATGGTTTGATATCTCAGCTATCCAGAGGCAAACAGGCATTCACTCAACAGATTGAGGAACTAAAGAGACATTTAGAGGAAGAAATAAAGGTAAATGTACTTCCAGTAAGGGTGTTGACTTTGGACTGAGGTTCTGTTTTCTTTCAGGATATTTCCTACTCTCACAAAAAATCAGAATGTTAGCAATATCAGTTTAATTTTTGAGCTATTAAACAAGATGGACAATTTTGCCACCTTAATCTCTAGTGTGGGAAGGGAAATTGAGGAAGACATCCTCTCCAATTTGAATACTAAGACAGAGAAAAACATTTTTAGGTCTTTATTCAGATTTATAATGGCATATAAAAAATGATTCAGATATATCTAAAAAAAAATTGTGCGTCTTAGTCTACTTTTCTAAGCTGAAAATTTAGAGTATATTTAAAGGGATTCATCAATTTCCTGATTTACAGTTGTCATTTAGAATTATCCATCATCTCTCCTGAGAATACTTTCTACATTTGAATGAATGAAGAGATAAGAAAGTTCTCTAAATGTGAAATCAATATGCCATTTTCCCTTGGGTTGACTTTAAATGTCAGATGGAAAGACTCTTCAACCACTTTCGTGAAGTTAACATTCCGCTGTCTCACAGGAAATTAATTGTCCCCATCCAATTGTCTCCCAAGGCCAAGAACGCCCTGGCCCACGCCCTGCAGTCCGCTCGCCACGACTGTGACTTGCTCCGGGAACAATATGAGGAGGAGCAGGAAGCCAAGGGGGAGCTGCAGCGCGCCCTGTCCAAGGCCAACAGCGAAGTGGCCCAGTGGAGAACCAAATACGAGACGGACGCGATTCAGCGCACGGAGGAGCTCGAGGAGGCCAAGTACATGGGGAGTGGGATGAGAAATGACTGCAGAAGACTGAGAGCGGTCAAGGGAAATGGGAGTCTCTGAGTGGGCTGAGATAGGGTTAGGATGAAGGCAGGGATATACTGTCTTTGTGGTGAAGGGAAGGTAGGGCAGGGAGGAGAAAAAAAGTGTATATTGGAAGGGAAAGCATAGGCTTTAGGGCTAGAAGTGCTAAGACAGGCCTAAATCCTTCATAGGTGCTTGGACACAGAAGAGATAGATCCTTTAGGATCTGTGAAAAGTGCTCAGCTGGAACCCCCCAAAGTGGCCGACAGCCCTCTCATGGCAGTGCAGAACTGACTCCCTTCTAAGCTCTAAGCTGCCACTGTGCTTATCTCCTCCCAGGAAGAAGCTGGCACAGCGCCTGCAGGATGCAGAGGAACACGTCGAAGCTGTCAATGCCAAGTGTGCCTCCCTGGAAAAGACAAAGCAGAGGCTGCAGAATGAAGTGGAGGACCTGATGATTGATGTGGAGCGATCCAATGCTGCCTGCGCTGCTCTGGACAAGAAGCAGAAGAACTTTGACAAGGTCTTTTGGGCTCCAGCTCTGGGACTCCTGGGCAGAGCCTCCCCCCGGGATGGCCACATCCCTACTCACGCCCCGTTTCTCTTCAGATCCTGGCAGAATGGAAGCAGAAGTATGAGGAAACGCAGGCTGAGCTGGAGGCCTCCCAGAAGGAGTCTCGCTCCCTCAGCACGGAGCTGTTTAAGATGAAGAATGCCTATGAGGAGTCCTTGGACCACCTGGAAACAATGAAGCGGGAGAACAAGAACTTGCAGCGTATGTCCCTGGCCCTCTGCTCCGGGATGGGCTTTCTCACCAGCTGAGCATTGCTGCGGGGTCTGTGCCTGCAGCTCTGCAAAGATGCCTGTCCCCCTGGTGGGACAGGGCCCTTCCCATTCTGCTCTGGGCCTGAGCAAGCCATTGGTCTTTGTTCCCACAGAGGAGATTTCCGACCTCACGGAGCAGATTGCGGAGGGAGGAAAGGCAATTCATGAGCTGGAGAAAGTCAAGAAGCAAGTTGAGCAGGAGAAATCTGAAATCCAGGCTGCTCTGGAGGAAGCTGAGGTACCTGGCCAGAATCATTGCTGTCTGCACTAAATGTGTGAGCAAGGCAGAAACAATGCTAAAAAGGCCTTGCTTCTGCTCTGTTCTGGCTGCGGAGGGCAGCCAGCTGAGATTTCCTGGAATATTCTCTAATTCCCTAGAAAGCAAGCAGTAGGTTTATCAGTGTTCCCCATGTTTGTGTCCACTTGTCCAGGCCTCTCTGGAACACGAAGAGGGGAAGATCCTGCGCCTGCAGCTGGAGCTCAACCAGGTGAAGTCTGAGATTGACAGGAAGATAGCAGAGAAAGATGAGGAGATTGACCAGCTGAAGAGGAACCACCTCAGAATTGTGGAGTCCTTGCAGAGCAGCCTGGATGCTGAGATCAGGAGCAGGAATGAAGCCCTGAGGCTGAAGAAGAAGATGGAGGGAGACCTGAATGAAATGGAGATCCAGCTCAGCCACGCCAACCGTGTGGCTGCAGAGACACAAAAGAACCTGAGAAATGCACAGGGAGTGCTCAAGGTCTGTTCAGCAGAGCTGCAGAAAGAGAAATAAGATCCCCGACATTTTTGGCCCTCAAGCGCACACTGACACGATGTAATTCCTCTTGTCTCTCTTACAGGACACCCAGATCCACTTGGACGATGCTCTCAGGACCCAGGATGACCTGAAGGAGCAGGTGGCCATGGTGGAGCGCAGAGCAAACCTGCTGCAGGCTGAAGTTGAGGAGCTACGGGCAGCCCTGGAGCAGACGGAGCGGTCGAGGAAACTGGCTGAGCAGGAGCTCCTGGATGCCACTGAACGTGCACAGCTCCTCCACACCCAGGTCAGGCATTGCTGGAAATTAATCCCATCCACAAAGGATAAAAAAGAGGGAGATTGTCCCGCACCTTGTAAGTGATTACTGTGTAAACACCTGATGAAATGTGCTGTCCCTCCAGCCAGCCTCCAATACCCAGTTTAATGCAAGTCTCTTGCATTAAAAATTTTTCCTAAACTCTACTTGCACTTTCAGACCTTGGTGTGCAGGCATTTGGACTGACAGCACCATTCCTGTCTTTCCTGTTGCACAGAACACCAGCTTGATCAACACCAAGAAGAAGCTGGAGACAGACATTTCTCAGATTCAGAGCGAAATGGAGGATACGATCCAGGAGGCCCGCAATGCTGAAGAGAAGGCCAAGAAGGCCATCACAGATGTGAGTCGGGGCTCCTTTCATTGCTGATGGGGATGTATTCTCCCCAAAATGTCTCCAGCCCCACAAGGGCTTTGACCTTTTGCTCTGCTCAGGCGGCTATGATGGCAGAAGAGCTGAAGAAGGAGCAGGACACCAGTGCCCACCTGGAGAGGATGAAGAAGAACCTGGACCAGACGGTGAAGGACCTGCAGCTTCGTCTGGAAGAGGCCGAGCAGTTGGCCCTGAAGGGAGGCAAGAAGCAAATCCAGAAGCTGGAGGCCAGGGTGAGTAGGGCTGTGTTGGTGCATGAGTGACCCCATCTCTTGGAGAGACACCCCCAGGGAAGCTGCAGGGACGGGCTTCTCATTGCAGGTGCGGGAGCTGGAAGGGGAGGTTGATGCTGAGCAGAAGCGCAGCGCTGAAGCCGTGAAGGGTGTGCGCAAGTACGAGAGGAGGGTGAAGGAACTCACCTACCAGGTAATGGCCCCTGTGGGCATCTGCAAAAACTGAAAGTGTTTGCACCTGATTGCCAAGGGGAATTGCTACCTGCCACAGTGGGGGAAACAATTCACACTCTTTCCTGTTTGCTAACTGCTTTAGTCTGAGGAAGACCGAAAGAATATTCTCAGGCTACAGGATCTGGTGGACAAGCTGCAAATGAAGGTGAAATCCTACAAGAGACAATCTGAGGAGGCTGTAAGTATCACTCTGAGTGCTTGGCAAGAAACACTTTCCAAGAGGGTAGCTTGGCCACTGAGGAAGCTTGGCCCAATAGAAGAAAGTTGGAAGGTGTCACTGGTCAATAATGGAGTTCTTCAAGTTCTCTGAAAGGCTCCTAAATCAGCCTCACATGGAGAATGAAATCAATGAGTCACTAACAAGACTAATAAGAGGGCAAATGCACACAGCATTTTTTGCATCAGGACAACAAAGCAGCCTGTAAGAAGGAGTCTTATTAATGGTAAGGACAGTACAGTACATTAAGAAGTTTTGAAAATAACTTAGTTTCAAATTTTTGATAGCAGACAGAGAAGGTGTTGGAAGTATCCTCCCAAGCCACTTTGTGTTCAGCTCTTAGAATTGTGCAGGGACCCTTTGCCTGTTTCTGGGCGTGCAGCACTCAGGGAGGAACTGAGGCAATCCTGCAGTCCCTGAATTTATGATTGGCTGAGCGTGGCTTCTTCACTGTGGCAAACAGCCCAGCCCAGACAAAGGCTTCTGGACTCAGTGAGGGGGGTCTGTGAGAGGGGCACTGAGGAGTTTTCAAGGATCTCACTGAGACTCACGGATAAGCTGTGGTGGGTGGTGGATGGAAGTTTGTGCCCTCCCCCAGGCCAAGGCACAGGAGCAGTGACACCCCTGCCCTGGGCTCCTCACCACCAACTCCTTCTCTCTCCCAGGAGCAGCTCTCCAATGTCAACCTCTCCAAGTTCCGCAAGATCCAGCACGAGCTGGAGGAAGCCGAGGAACGGGCTGACATTGCAGAGTCACAGGTCAACAAGCTCCGAGCCAAGAGTCGGGAGTTTCATAGGAGGATAGAAGAGGAAGAGTGAGATTGTCATGAGGTACAAAGTGACCTGCGGGCTGCACAAAATGTGAACCCTTTGTCACTTCCTTCTGCAATGTACCCACCTCAGTGTCTAGTGAATAAAGAGTAGATTCCTCTGCAAACACACCATGACCAGTGCCTTCTTTGGGTTTGGTTTTCTCACCATACTCGGGATATTGCATTGGAGAAGAAGACTCCTTACTTTTTCCTGGTTAGGAAAGGGGAGCTGATGCAAATGTTGGACTGAGGACCTGCAAACTTAGAATCTGGCCATTCCTGTGGAGATTCCTGAAAATCCAGCCTGCGCTCTCTTTTGTCTCCAGCAGCTCCTTGTCCTGCTCCTGCCTTCACGTGCTCCTAATGCTTCTCTCATTGTCCTTTCAGCACAAGTTCCTTCCCATGGGAGAGGCAAGAGAGGGTGATCTCCTGTCCTTTTTCCTTTCCCTGCCCATGTTTCTGATGCTGCCACTCACAAACCCTAAACGCCTACCCCAAGCAATCAGAGGTTACAGTGCACTGCACCATCAAGGACCAACAGTCCCTTGAAAGAGACAATTTTAGTCACTGCGTACTGACAGTGTCTCTACATTGTGCCATCTCCCTTACCCTGGATCCCCTCAGCTGCTGCCACCACCTGCTCCCAGTTTCCTCTTAGTGGGCAAACAGCAGAGCCCCGCCTGGGGCCCCGTGCTGGAAGGACTCTCCCTTAGTACCCACCTCTCGCACAGCACATGCACCAACACACCTCCTCAACGATCACCTCAGAGGTCAGCCTTGGCACCTCCTGCACAACAGGCTGCACATGGCACTGTCTCAGACAAGGGAAAAGAAGAAAACAGATGGGTGCAGCCCTCCATTCCTTCCTCCCATAGTTACTGTCCCTTGTGAGCATTGGTGAGCAGAACTTCTGTCAGTGCTGTCAGTGCTGTATCTCAGCAGAGATGGTTGTTTAGGGGCAAACCTCAGCCTTCAATCACAAAGACCTTAAGAAAGCCACCTAACACCTGGCCAGACTAGTCCTCTCTGACAATGTCTCACAGCATGCATTGACCTGCCACCACAGGCAGGGCCTCTTGGCCTTAGCCTTTGCCTGCCCAAGCCCACCTGTGAGCTGACTGCTCCTCTTGGGTGGCAGTCCCACCTGCAGGCATCTCCAAAGCTTCAGGGGGGCTGGGTAGAGTCTGAAGGCACACAACATCCATGAGTATCCCTGTTAGCTGGAATGGCTGGTGCAAGCGTTAACTTCTGAGACTCTCTGAAACCCTGCTCTACAGACCCTGCACCACCCTTTGCCTCCCATTGCCTGCACTGAGGAAGCTTGAGGATGTGTCACCAGAATGAAGGAATGCAGCCAGCAAAGCCAGGCAGAGGGAAGAGAGGAGTGAGCCCTGGCCCTACTGGCAAGTGGAACACCTGGAGAGTTTCTTTGATACTTGTCCAAAAGAGCTGTCTCAGAGGGCACCAGTGTGAAAAGGCAGTCAAGTCACTGAAGAAGCAGCTCTCACATCAAGGGCTATAACTGTGTCTGTTCTGACCTACCACAGCCTTCTTTAGACTGTTTCTTCCTCCAGCCTCCTGCCCCTTTCACTTGCACACAGTTACACGCTCTCTGCTATCTCTCCAGCTCTCACGCATGTGGCTGAAAATGAAGCAGGCAGCTACGTGAAGACATCATGTGTCTCCTTTCCTCTGCAGTGACAAAGGCCCAAAATAGCCCTGCTCTCCTAAGACTCCTGTTCAGGGTCGTGCCTGTCTGTGGGCATGATTCACTTCCACTAATAGTGCCTGAGACATTCCTGGGAGGGTAGGCTGCCTTCTGTGTCTCAGTGCCATGTGCTGCCGTGGAGGAGCTGGACAACTGTGCTGTGTCCCAAGACAGCAGATGCTATTCTTACCCCAGGGAGACTTGCTCCAGCATAGCTCCATTCCCAGCTGAAAGGTTAAATGTCAGACTGCGGCCCGAGCGTGCTCTCCCTGCTCAGTCTGAATCCAGAGTGGCCCCTTTGGAGCCCGTGCAACGGTGCTGTGCCAACCCAGCACCTGGGTGCTCTCCCCTATCTCCTGGGACGTGCTGTCCCACAGGGAACACAGCAGCTGCCCAGGTACTTCCAGCAGTCAGCTGGGGCTCACTGGGCTCGAGGGGGCATCCCCCCTCTTGTAAACCTACCCATGGAAAAGGTGGGCTGGGCTGTAGCTCTGAAAATGCAGCATTTTCCAGCCTCCACCCTGGAGTCCCAGTCTGGGTGAGGAAGAAGGAAGAAGGCAGAGGCAGGGCTTGCTCCCAGGTTCGGCAGCGCTGCAGGGGCCATATCCCTTTGCTCAAGCTGTGCTTTCCCAGCACTCGCTGAGCGAAGGCTGTAGGGCCGAAGCCCAGAGATCCCTCAAGGGCCACGGCAGCATCTGGGCTGAAGGAGGAGCCCTGGCCAGGCTGGTGGCCGTGACACGGTGCTCATGGAGACCCAGCCCCACCTGCAGCCCGACTGCCCGGGCCCTCTGCAGAGCTCCGGAAAGCCCGTCCCTGCCGGCTCCGGCCCCGGGGTCACCGGACAGAGCACACCCAGACCGGGGCCATCAGCTGGGCCCGGGCTGTGCCTGTCGCCTCAGCCCTGGCGCTGCTGCTCTGACGGCCTCGGCCCCATCAGCTTTATCCTCAGCCTGGGCCTTGTCACCCGACACGGGAAGACAGACAAGTTCCTTCAGGGATCCTTGGCAGAAAGACGATGGAATTATTGCCGGGGGCAGCCGGGGGAGCCTCTCCCGGCCCCACCCGGCCCCTGTCAGTCCCAGGGAGCTCAGCGGGGCAGCCCCGATCTCCCCCTCGGCTCCAGGCCCCACTGCCAGGGGATGGCAGCCTGGAGCCATCACGGGACCCTCCTCTGGGCAGCTGCTCCTCTGCACAGCAGCCGCTCGGCCTCACTCAGCCGGGGGGCTTTAAACCTGCTGCAACTGCCGGGCCCACGGACTGGGAGCAAATCACAGCACAAGGGTTCAAAGGCAACCAGGGCGCTCAGCCGGTTTCATCTGCTCCCCACTGGGACAGAACAAAGTCGGGTGGGATGGGCCGAAGAACATCTGGGAATGTTCCACTCACCGATGCTGGAAGAAAAGACCCTGAGGTGACAGAAGCAGACACTGGTCAGTGTGCAGGTCTGCAGTGGGCTCTCTGCCCAGAAAGGGAACCACGCAGCTGCTTGGGAGTGTGTGACTGTCAAAAGGACAACATGCAGCATCAGGGCCCTGCCACCTCCACTGCACACTCTGCAGAGCAGCCTCAGGAGAGCAACTGCAGCACCTCTTTTGGCACCCGTGATCTGGCTGGACCTTCACAGTGCAGGTATGAGGAGAGGCCCAGGACTTTGGAGCACTCTCACTCCTCCTAGGATAAGGGCCAGCTGCTGCAGACAAGCACATCCTGGGCTCGGATCAGCAGGAGCAACAGAGAAAGCCTTTGCAGACTAAAGTGCAGATAAGCCATTCCCACCTGTAGGGCACCTCAAAACGCACAGGTAATCACATACACCTGAAACCCAGGCTGCCTCTCCCTTGCTGGGTAGAGCAGCATAATGGGAGATCAGTGGGGCAGAATAGCACGTGCTGAGGACCAGGCACCTAGGCTAAGTGGGATTTCAGGGTAGAGGATGCGAGTCCCAAGAGCTGAATGCTAGTCTGAAGTGGGAGCACATTCAGTGTGTCCCTGGGGCATACCTGTCATGTAAACGAAAGTGTGGAACAACAGGATTTGCTTCCATGGCATTTCCCTGTTTGACACTAAGCATTAATGCTCAAAGGCTTCCCATACAATCAGTGCTCACTGCACCATGGCAGCACATGCAGACCCCAGGTGAGGAAGGGCATCGGTGACACCCACCCCCAAAGATGCTGTTCTTGTCCCAAAAGGCACGGTCCCATCTGGGGGTGTCTGTGCAGCTGAGGTTGCAGGCACAGAAGTGCCCTCCAGCTCCAGCGCCCGACAGTCACCTCCTTCCTCCCACTGACCCAGGCAAAGCCTTTCCTCTCCTTCTGCCCTGGCATGTGGCAGTGAGTTACTCACTTCTGCAGGAGGGAGTGGCTTTGGAAGGCCAAGAACAGATACTCGCCTTAATTAAATGAGTTGTGCTTCATGTCGTTGGTTCTGCAGATCCCTTCTCCAAGGAGGACTCTGTGCCCAGAATGTGACTTTTCCTTCATGATGCAGCTACTGAGACAGTAAGAGGCTGTCCCAGCATGAGCCTGACAGAGACCTGGGTCTCAAGGGGCAAGAGATTCTGGGATAAAACACACAATGGCAGGTAAAGAATACATGGGCACCCTGTCCTGTGAGTTTTGTTGCCTTTTAGAGCAGGGGTATTCAGTGCCACACTTGGTAACCACCACCATATTTCTGCCACAGGAACTGCCCTCTTGACTCCACCTTGACTATCACAACTACCAGCTGTGATTAGCCACATGGTTCTTACGCAGCAGACTTTGTGAAGGTCATGAGAGCTTTTGGGACAGGGACATCCAAGCCCTTTGGCAGGGTAAAATGGCATCAGAATTAGAAGTAACTCTAGGAAACTGGAGCAGTTGTCTCAGATTTTCAGAAGGAAATTGAATGAAGAGAAAGAAAGTGCTTTTGGGAAGATTATATGAGATGGCTTATGGCTCTTGAATTAAGAAGAAAAGGAAGTGGAGGTTGTAACCCATCACAATTTAACATTGAAAATAAAAAAAAAGGTTATTTTGATATTTCAAGGGAATTTTTTTGTTTTGTGTTTGTGTTTGGATGTTATGCAGGCCTAGAATGTTTCTGTAGCAGGGACAACTGGATTGGATTGGTAATTAAGTGAATAAGAAAAACAGTATCTTTACTTTGGACAATATATCTTGAACAAAATAAAATTATTAAAATATCTACCATAAATTATAAATACCTTAAATATATTATATGCCTTACTTGAAAATTATCATATTCCTTGGGATTTTAAACTCATATCACACTTACTGGATGTTTTATTTTGCAGGGGTTTTTTAGGATTCTTACAACTTGCTGTAATTTTCAGTCTAAACTAATCATTTCAGACAACTTGTGCTCTGCCTGAAGTCATCTTTAGATAGATTATTCTGGTCCTACATATTCTCCAGGGAATTACAGTGCAGCTTTATTAAGAATCAAATATATTACTTTATTAGAACACATGTAGAACACCAATGAAAAACTAAAGTTTTACTGTTCTTGTTTTGTGACTATTTGCTATGCGTGGGGGGCAGAGATGACTTTGCATTGATGCACTATTTTTACAGTTGTCTGTCATGTGATCAGTACTAGTGCAAAGGTCCTGAAAAAAATGTTGATCCATAATGACCATAAAGAAAAGCCTCTCAGAGAAAAGTTTACAATAGATGCAGTTATTGGGCTCAAATAGAGCTTCTGACCCACATGGCAGGGATTGGCAGGGGATCTCTGGAACACAAATGCTGTGTGCCAGCACAAATGGCCATAAACATTTCAGACACACTTTGTCGTTAAAGGCAGATTCACCAGTTCATCTGTGAGCTCCCCATCACACCCCAGGCAAGGAGGAACTCACCTGGCCCCTCAGCTTTGCTGCACAGCTCTCATGATAGTGCTCTTACACCCCTCCAGCCCTACCATGACAGCACGGGACTGCTGGGAGGAACACAGCCCAGCACACAGCAAGGTTTTGGAATCAGAGCCCAAAGAGGTAAAGTCCAAGCTTAGCTACTGTGTGAGTGCAAGAGCAGTGTGGGGTCATGGGATGGCTCTGGTCCCAGAGCCTACAAAGTTCCTTGCTCCAGGAATACATGGCAGGCTGGAAGGACTTGTCACTGAGCTGAGGAGACTGATCTGTGCCACCTGGCATGGCAGTGACCAATGAAGTGCTCACTGCACATTTAGCTGATTAGATTATTATTAAAATAGGGTAATTTTGCATAAATACAAATATATCCCATCCTTCAGTAAGAGGTGTTATCCTATTATTCTTGAAAATTAAAGCAAATTTTGAGAATCCTGTTTTTTCTGTGTAAATAATGAACATCGTAATTACCAACGGAAAATGTGGTATCAAAATACTGCAAACTCTTTCTGCATTTGAGAATGTCTCACATAATTTAATGTTCTGATGTATTTGTTTTTGAAGAAAGGAGGTAAACATTTTTTATATAATTGCAACACTCACTTAGAGAAACAAAAGGTTAGTTGTGCAAATCTAAACAAGTCTATCTCCACAGTGTAGCTTCCCCCTGTTTCTCTTGCAAATGCAGTCAACAGAGAAACGAGACAATCAAGTGTCTCCTAATTTTATTTCATGCTGCTGTTCTCATTTCTTCTCCTTCCATGCCACTCTCCAACTCCTTTTGCCTTCTCCTTCCATTGCCATGAGAGCCTGTCCACCCCACTCACCTGTTCTGTAACTGAAGCTGTTCAGCTGCTTTGGCATGTGATGGAAAGGGCATCCTGAATGTCACCTCCTCGTCCAGAACCTACTGCTCATGTATCTTTCTCTGACATTTGCTGTCAAGATGGAAGGAATTTGAGTAACCATGGAAATCTCATGCACAGTCAAAACCTGTTAATCATTAAATCTAAAAGTGCTGTGAGTTAACCATCACTAATCTCTAGCTAGTTTTGCCCTCCCTCTTCACTTTGGAAGACTGTTACTTTTCCTCAGAGGCAGATACTTAGGTGTCATCAGAGCAAAATAAACACATTCTTAAGTTTAATATATATTGTTAAAACTTCAGAATGCACATCTGTTTTCCCTGCTGTGAGATCAAATAACAACTGTATCAAGCATTGCAGAAATCAGTCTCTGAAGGAAGGAACAGGATCAGATCACAAGGCCGCCTCGGTCCATCCATAGCTACCCTGAGACACAGGAGGTTCTGAACAGCCACAGGCACAAAGGTCACTCGTGTTCTGTCTCTGCAATGGCCAAATCAGTAACTAGCTCAACCAGGTTAGTCAGTCTTTTATTTGTTAGTCTTAACACTGGCTTTTCCCTAGACATAATCCCCAACTTTTTTCCTGTCCATCCTTTTTAGCATTGCTCATCTGGACTCATAGCTCAAGTCTCTGAAGGACACATCTTACCTAGATAAACCACCATTACCCAGTTTAAATACATTATACCAGGAACAGAGAAAGTACTCATCGTATTTCATTGAATTCAACACAACATCTACCTTTCAATAGAATAAAAAGAACTTTTTATGTGAAAATCATCCTTACCATCTCCAGGATCCAGTGCCTAGGCACATCTTAGCTAAAGTGTCAGAATGAGAAGCTTTGCACCAGAGAATTAGTGTTCTGGCATTTCTCCTTGTCTCATGCCAGCATTCCTGAGAGGTCTTGTTTTACCCAGGGATCTTCAGTATGAGGCTACACATTCCTTATCGGTCCACAGGCACAAAGATCCCTCTTGGCATGTGTTATAAATATTAACAGCATAGCTGAGAATAGCATTTGCAAGCTGCAAATCCCACTGGGAATTGTCTTCAAAATTACTGTAAAACTAACATTAAGCAATAAAAAATGCTGAACATCTTTCTTTAAAAATGAACAAGAAACTTGGTGCTTATCTTTGCATTTTGTGAGCAATTCAGCATATGAGGCAACTCCTTCTGGTGCATGTTGATAATTTCATTCCTACAGTTAAAGCCTTCTCTTATTCCTGCACTCACATTCAGAAGATAATCTATTCTGGTAACCCTGTCCGTTTTCCAAATATGTGATAATAACCTATTTTGGCAACAATAAGAAATGTATATGTAGCATTTGGATTAGTTTTGTTTTCTTGGTTCAGTCTACTAAAAGTGATCTATTGCTACAACCAGAAGGGAGAGAATGAATTAAAAGGAGCGTGTCCAGAGAAGGGAATGGAGCTGGGGAAGCAACTGGAGCAGCAGGAGCAGCTGAAGGAGCTGAGGGGGCTCAGGGAGAAAAGGAGGCTCAGGGAGGACTTTCTGGCTCTACAACTCCCTGACAGGAGCGGGGTGCAGGGTGGGGGGTGAGTCAGGCTCTGCTCCCAGGGATCAAGGGACAGGGTGAGAGGAAACGACCTCAAGCTGTGCCAGGGGAGGTTCAGGTTGGACATTAGGAGGAATTTCTTCACAGAAAGGGTGGTAAAGCATTGGGAAGAGATCTGGACATGGGGGCTTTCAGCAGACTGCTCAGAATAGCAGGCAGTAGACACACAGCCAGGTCTCAAAAGCATCAGCTAGAAGGTTGTCCAACAGACCGGAAGGGTTTGCAGAGCTTGCTAAACCCAGACAACTAAAACTTCCACAGCTGAAACCAATACCAGAGAAAAGAACCTCATCCAGAAGGACACAAAGGTCAAGGAGAATTTTGCATTGTATGCTTTTTAACTCGATTTTTTTTTTTAGTGGCAGACATAGACCTCTCATCTGTATCTGTTGGCCTAACTGGGTTCTTCTTCCAGATCCCCAGGTCCTTTCTGCTCTATGGTTGGCAGAGGTTCTGTCAGAGGTGATCTGAAACATCAGAAAAATTGAAAAGTTACTGCAAGGAACACATTCAGGAGAGGTCTCCTTTGATACAGATGTCCCAACATCACACTTGAATCCAGCTTGGAGCCCTAGAGCTGCGCCTGAGTGGCTCAGTGGAAGAGGCACTTGCACCTTCAGCAGGCTTTTCTGGAAGTCATGTTACTCTGTTGGTCATATGAGATGTTTCTGAATGACTTGTGCTTGATGTTTTCAATCCCACAAAGTGGACAACAGCCTTTCAAACACATGATCTGAACAGGATTCTGTTCGTATACATGTAGGACAATGAGTGTCTTTATATTCAGGTCAGAAATCACTGTTGGCTGTATTTGCTCTGGAGAAAGCCTTTGGGCCTCAGCTTCTCGGTGAGGGAGTCACAAAGAAACATTCAAATATGAAAATTATGCAGAAAGCCAGTGCAAAATGACATTACACAGACAGACAGAGTTTTAGCAAGGTGTAGTGGGTTGACCCTAGCCAGATACCAGGTACCCATTAAAACCACTCTCTTACTCTCCCTCTGAAACTGGACAGAGAAGAAAAAAAACCCAAAAAAACAGCTAAGGATTCACGAGTTGAGATAACAGCTAGGAGAGGTCACTTGCTGATTACCTTCACGGGCAAAACAGACTCAAAGTGGGGGTAGTACCTAAATTTATTATTAACAGGATAAGAACCAAAGAGTGAGAAATAAAATAGTCTTAAAAACACATTCTCCCCACCCCTCCTTCCTTCCATGTTCTCCCTCCTCTTCAATCTCTTTCCCCTGAGTCTCTTTCTACCTGCATCTTTCCCATGCCATGCTATTCTGAAGCAGTAAAATATTTCAAGGCCTAGATCAGAGGACATGTTCATCATATGAGTATAATCAGTGTTACGTTGGAAACTACTGATGCTTATTGACTTGAATGAATTATCCCCAAAGATACAGTCAGTATGAAAGAAATGCCAATGCCAGCAGTGCAGGGCGATGGGGAATGGGGGTTACAGTCAGTTGTTGTTTCTGCCGCTGCTCAGGGAGAGGAGTTGGAGTCCTTCCCCTGCTCCCGTGGGGTCTCTCCCACGGCAGACAGTCCTCGATGGACCTCTCCAGGGTGAGTCCATCCCTTGGGCAGCAGTTCTTCCCAACCTGCTGTCCCGTGGGTCACTCCTCCATGGGGTCAGTCCTTGACGGATGAGCTGTACTGTGTCCCCCACAGGGGCCACAAGTCCTACCTGGG